AATACATGCACATAGAAAACTTGCATACCAATAGGGCCTCTTTTAATGTGGATTTGTGAGGGCGATCTAGGAAGATACAGAAGTAGCATTGTATATAGCAAAATCATAAAGTTATATCATAATACTTTTTGACTCTGGTAGGATAATAGGGTGAAGTCTGCTGGAGCTCATTGATGTGGGTTTTCCAGAAAAAAAAACTGAATTAGGGAATTAGGGTAATCTGCATAAGTTAATTTGCATGGGAAAATTGCATGGGAAAATTTTCAGTTTGGCATTGGAACCTTTTCTGAGGGTGATTTAATCCAGCATGTTTATTTTACATATGTTTAGTAAAAGTTAAAAGCAATGAAACTGCCAAGCTTGCTTAATACGGCATTTGCGGTTGGCATCCATTCATAATTGCTAATGAATAGGTATTAGCAGAAAAAGAAAGCACTGGAAAGTTTTCTGCCCTACATCACTGGTAAAGTTGGAAAGTTGTTTGACTGTATGGTTTTTTGGGACCCCCAACACTGGCAGGAAATGTGTGAAGCAGGTTTTTTGTTTTGTTTTGTTTTTGTTCATCTGCTCCTGGACTGCATTTACTGCTGCTCTCCGTACAAGGAGAGGAGAGCTGCAGGATATTCCTTGAAAGACCAACCCCAATTGATTTGCAACCACTGGTCTTGATGCCAAGACTTCAAAGTGGAGTGGGGAGATAAATTTCTGGGCTTACGTGACTGTTATTATTCTTTATTAAATTTATATACTGCCCTTCATCACAAGATCTCAGGGCAGTTCACAGAATAAAAACAAGGTTAAAAACACAAGTAAATAGCTAAAACAGAAAAAACCCCAATAACCACCCTTCCCAGAAACACATTTAAAAGGCTGTAGAATATTAATCAGCCAAAGGCTTGGTTGGAGAGTAACATTTTTGACTGGCGCCTACAAATATAAAATGAAGGTGCCAGGTGAACCTCCCTGGGGAGAGCATTCCACAAATGGGGAGCCACTGCAGAAAAGGCCCATGCTTGCATTGCCACCCTCTGGACCTCACATGGAGGAGGCACATGAAGAAGGGCCTCAGATGATGAATGCAGAGTCTGGGACTGTTTGTATGGGCAGAGGCTATCCTTGAGATCCTGAACCATTTAAGGATTTTTAGGTCAAAACCAGCACTTTGAATTGGGCCTGGAAACTAATTGGCAGCCAGTGCAGTTGGGCCAGGTTCGGTGTAATATGTTCAAACCGTCTTCCCCAGTGCTGCTGAGTTCTGCACCAGCTGAAGCTTCCAAACCATCTTCAGAGGCGGCCCTACATATAATGTGTTTCGGTAATCAAACCTTGAGGTCACTGGAGCGTTAGTCTATCCATGTCCAGATAGGGGCACAGCTGGGCCACAAGCTGAAGCTGATGGAAGGCACTCCATGCTACTGAGGCCACCTGCGCCTCAAGCGACACCAGATGAGTGAAGAGTACTCCCAAGCTACGTACCTGCTCCTTCAGAGGAATTGTAACCCCATCAAGAGCAGGCAACCTCCCGTCCATTCGGTCTAGGGAACCACCCTCTAACAGTGCCTCCGTTTTATCTGGATTGAGCTTCAGTTTGTTTTCCATCTTTTTGGTTTTTCTGGAGTGTTTGTACTTTGTGTTAGGCTAATGAGACAGATTGGGGATACTGTTGGTGTACTGCCCACTCTACTGCCCAACCGTCTCCCTACCTGAGCTGACACATATGATATCTGACATTGCATTAAGAGGTCCTAAGACTGTTAATGTCAACCATCACACAGAGGGGCTGTGTGGGACTTCATGGTCACCATGACAACCATGGATCTGTCTAAACATGTTATTGGGTAACTTACCCAGGCACTCTGAGGTCCTTCTCTGGATTCCTCTTCTGAGGGTGATAATAAGGGAGAGGGCCTTTTCAGTTGTTGTCTCCTACCTATGGAATGTCCTACCCAGTGAGGTCTAATGCCTTTGATGACATGTTTTCAGTGCCAGGTAAATACTTAGCTTTTTTCACAGACTTCTGATGGACTGGGATGATTTTGGCCTACTGTTAGTGTGCTGCCAAAGCTTCTTATGGCTGTTATGAGGTGTGAGTGTAATGAATTGTAGGCGATGTTTGAAAATGTTAATGTTTTATATGATTTTGAAACAAGATGTTGTATATTTATGTTTTTAAAGGTAGGTTGCTTGGAGACCTTTTAGTTAACAAGTGACTTAACAAGTCTAATATTTCTGTTCCATGAATTAACAGTTCATTAAATCACTGCCTAATGTAGTGTAGTCTGGTGAATAGGTGGACGTTTCCCACTAGAGTTTGTGAGGATTTAAAAAAGAAGAGTGGCAGTCAGTTCCATAAAGGCATTCTTATGAATATTTTTAGCTGTAGCGTTAAAGTCTCTCTGTGTGGAAGGATAACAGCATGTGTCAGGTAACAGGTGGTCTGGCTGTGCTTCCTCTCCCTTCAGTGAATATCATGATGAAAGAGTGGGCCCTGCTGGGCTACTGCAGTAAAAGTCTTGAGAAGACAGAAATAAAAGGTCACTGGGCCATGCAGCTTCCTAACAATTTCATTTAAAATTTTGTACTTAATATGTGAAAGTTTGAAAATCTGAATAGACTTTCTGTATCTCTGTAAAGAAGTGTGACCAGAATAAATTAATTAGATTGTAAACTACTCATTTCAGAGAATTAACAACATTCTAGCTGTCATATGTACAAAAACCGAATCCTGTGTCTGATCTGTTAGTCAACCACGCTTTGTTTAATCCGGACTGGCATGCTGATGAAAATTCTGAATCCAGACTAGTGCCATACAGGTGGACCTATGCTGATAGAAAGGTGGCAAAACCTGCCCCAGTTCAGACCATGAAATGGCCAGAGGCTAGGTCAGGGTTAGCCCCCATTCCAAACAACTCCTTGAATACAACCTTTGTCTATTTTCTACATATGTGAGTGGCTGCCATTCACTAGTGTGGGGAAAGCAAAGCACTGGACTTGGGAAACCATTGTGGACCCAGCCTGCCTTCCCTCACTAATACTGGGTGACCTGACCCACAGCGACAGGGATTCTGCAGGAAGCTGCAGTGTCACTGTGTGTGGACTGCCCTGATAGTCATTGTGCTCCCACGCTGGAGAACTGCAATTACAGCAGCCAGACCATCCTTTCACACAGCCAGTCAAACCTGCCTTAATGGCAGGCATTTTCTTGTTATAAAATATTTGATCAATTTATGGATATTTCCATAATATCTGTGGCATTTGATCATATATATCTGATATTTGATCAGTTCGTGGATATTTCCGTACTATGACATGATTCTAAGTAGTGAAAAAGTGTTCTTCTTTTGTAGCAAAATATGTCTTGTGATTCCGTCCTGCCTTATGGTTGCCGAGAAATGAAAGAGCAACCCAGACGTTATTTAAATTGCATTTAAAGATGCATTAAAAAAAATCCAGTGTTTTTATTCTTTCTTCTGAGGACAGAAGGAGACAAGATGCACTGTGGGTATTGATATTTTAAATTTCCATTCCTACTGGGAACTTGGTTTTCTGCAGTTATGGTGTACATTACTTCACTCTTATCTTTTTTCTTCCCTATAGGCCATGTGTTTATACAGCGGGGTCTCCAATAAACAACAGGGCCCTTTTTCCATGCCAAGAACCGCCTGTTGCCATGTCAACATGGCAAGCTACAGTCCGAGCAGATGCATGCTTTGTTGTTTTAATGAGTGGTGAAAATGTAGCGGAACCAACAGAATCTGAAGAAGGTACAGCATGTATTTGCCATCTGAATGTATGCTACAAAATGACATTTAATAAGTGTTTTATATCAGAACAGAGCTTCTGCCACATACAGTAGTCCTTTAACTGTACAGTGGTACCTCGGGTTACATACGCTTCAGGTTACAGGTTACATATGCTTCGGGTTACAAACTCCACTAACCCAGAAATAGTACCTCAGGTTAAGGACTTTGCTTCAGGATGAGAACAGAAATTGTGCTCCAGCGGCGCAGCAGCAGCAGGAGGCCCCATTAGCTAAAGTGGTGCTTCAGGTTAAGAACAGTTTCAGGTTAAGAACGAACCTCCAGAACGAATTAAGTTCTTAACCCGAGGTTCCACTGTATATTCGTTTTATATGCAATATACGTAACACTGTGACACCAGATGGCACTGTGGAATCCCATCTTTCCCTATTGGATTTCCCTGTATGACTTTACAACACATTTAACTGAATCGCTTTTCTGACATGTCTAGATCTAGCCTATGTGCTTAACTGTTCTTATCCTGATTATATGCATGCTACTCAGAAGTAAATCCCACTAAGTTCATTTTGGACATTTTCCACATATAGATGTTTATAACTGGAAGCTTAGAACCTTCCTCATACTCTTTAAGATATATGGTGACAATGTATGTGAATGATTTCTGTAACTGAAATCATGTTTATGAAATGCTACATATTTTAGCAGTTTAACCAATTCTGACATTATTTTGCTAATAATTTGGTAAAAAAAAGTTCTATGCAAATCAGTGCTAATTTCAGTGTCAGATTAATATATTTTAGTGGATTTTTTAAAAAAAAATCTTTTTTCAATATTATTCTGAAGGCAGGGAGCAACAATCCAAACTTAAACCAAAGTCAGCAATATTATTAATTAAGATGATAAGTGGCGGGGAAACATATACAAGAACCGTTAAAATAAATCAAATCTATTTCAATGTGTTTTCGATGAGAATAAGTGATGTAAAATATATTATGATCAATCCTAAAACAATAATATACTTAGAATGCTATTTTCACATATAGCACTATTGTTCCAAATGTAGAAATAATGTTGCTTCAAATAATATATTTCTGCATAGCTTGTGAACAGATTGGAATCTTCCACCAGCTATTTACATGCAAAGTTTTGTTTAAAACGTGCTGTAGGAACTGCAGGAAACTTGAGTCACAGTTCAAAGTCTTGCCAGTGTTTCTGCATACCAGTTGGACCATTTCAGTGACACATGGAAATTTGCATTGCTTCCATGAATATTTCTTTCATTTCCACCCTAGGTGGTGCTGTGTCCAAGGGAGCCACACAAGGGCATACTCTTGAGACAATAGCACCAAAAATACTAGAGGAAGATGAGAATTTAACATTAAGGGCAGAAAGGCAAAGAAAAGAGAAAAGCTGCATCAAGAACAGAGAAGAAGACAATCAAGTTTAGTTAGTTAATTTTTTAAAGTTCAGTGAGTTCTTCGAAACAATAAAAGGAGGAATAATAAGAATTAAAATGAGAGATTAATGAGACTGCAAAAGAAAATAGGCAAATGACTGAATCCTTTGTAGTTTCAAGAAATATCGTGCACAATAGGAATACAACATAGGTATGACAAACCTAGACAGCATCTTAAAAAGCAGAGACATCACCTTGCCAACAAAGGTCCGTATAGTAAAAGCTATGGTTTTCCCAGTAGTGATGTATGGAAGTGAAAGCTGGACCATAAAGAAGGCTGATTGCTGAAGAATTGATGCTTTTGAATTCTGGTGCTGGAGGAGACTCTTGAGAGTCCCATGGACTGCAAGAAGATCAAACCTATCCATTCTGAAGGAAATCAGCCCTGAGTGCTCACTGGAAGGACAGATCGTGAAGCTGAGGCTCCAGTACTTTGGCCACCTCATGAGAAGAGAAGACTCCCTGGAAAAGACCCTGATGCTGGGAAAGATGGAGGGCACAAGGAGAAGGGGACGACAGAGGACGGGATGGCTGGATAGTGTTCTCGAAGCTACCAGCATGAGTTTGACCAAACTACGGGAGGCAGTGGAAGCCAGAAGTGCCTGGCGTGCTCTGGTCCATGGGGCCAAGAAGAGTTGGACACGACTAAATGACTAAACAACAATGTGAACACAGTTTCAGAATTTCTAGCTGTGGTGAGGACTACAGCTGCTACAATCCACGAATCCTGTAGAACCGTGATAATAATAAACTATAGCTTGGATCATAGCAAGGCTTCTGTAAATGGAAGGGCTGGGTTCAGAAGAGGACTTCGTTCATGAAGGGATCAAGATCCAGTGAAGGATCACACTGCTTGAAGGGAAGGGAGAGTGTCAGTTTTTACTGACTTCCACCCTGTGCCTCCTCTCATGCTGTCCTGCAGATTCCCCCAATCCTGCAGAGCAAATTTTCCAGTGGCCCAGGGGGCTGAAGGGAGAGAGGGAATTAGGAAGGGTCACACCCACCCTTTCATTGAGGGGAGAATCACATGAATCAAGGTTTGCTCAGGGCACTCCTACTAGGGTGAACAAACTCAAGATCCCCAGTCTATGTGTCAATAGGAATGGTCCTAAAATCGTAGTTATCATTTCATAACTTTAAAGTGTTCACAACAGTTCATATGCATTTTCTTAGTAATCCTTACTGAGATGAACCTTAACATAATTAAGCAACAATTATCACCATACAGTGGTACCTCGGGTTAAGAACTTAATTCGTTCTGGAGGTTCATTCTTAACCTGAAACTGTTCTTAACCTGAGGTACCACTTTAGCTAATGGGGGCTGCCGCACTGCTGCCCGTGCAATTTCTGTTCTCATCCTGAAGCAAAGTTCTTAACCCGAGGTACTATTTCTGGGTTAGCAGAGTCTGTAACCTGAAGTGTCTGTAACCTGAAGCATCTGTAACCCAAGGTACCACTGTATTTCAGAAGAAAAATTGAGGGTGAGAAATAGTGATATACCCAAGAGTCAAACTCAGCATGATGGGAGAATCCACATTTATTTAGCTATCAATTTACATCTAGAATTGGGGGAAGCTGTCTCTTATATGCAGAAAATGTTGTGCACACATGTGAATATAGGGACATTTCTCCATTTTACGTCACTGTGTGCTTTGGCCCTAAGGCAGCCTAGTAATTTATAATAGATGAACAATTTGAACCAGGGACTTCCTGGTTCACAGCTCTGTCTCTAAGCCACAATCATAGAGTAGTTCATAGCAGATGTGGTGGTGGTATGCAGTATGTAAGCAGCTTTTCTCTGGAATCTCTTCGTGAGGAGAGAAAAAAGATAAAAAGAGAAACCGCTGTTTTATGAAACTTCACATGTTGCAATTTCACTCCTGATTAATGTTGGTGGTGCTGCCTGCAACCTAGGTGTTTTATTCTATTTAACTGTTTTCATTACACTGTAGTGCAGGATTGGTAAAAATATCCTGTTCTTTTAACACTGTTTGCAAAGCTGTGTACTTAAACCACTATTTAAGTACTAAACCCCCTGTTTGTGTATCCCTATTTTTTGTTTTCTTTATACTGTTTTCTCCCTTGTCATCTTCTTTGTTTGGGATCATTGACTCTCAGTTTGGATGATTTTTCTTCAATTGTTATCTCTCATATAATTTCAGTTTACTGTTTGACTTGAAAATTGCCACTGTGGCCACTTCCAGGCAACCCACTGAGCATTCATCATGATTTGTTTGTATGGAGATTAGATTACATTGGCTATTTAATGAGGGTTTATTTTTATTTGTTTGTGGAGAGGTTAGTTGACATTGTTTTATTCCAATTTCTAGGACATTTTCTCATCACATTCCTTATTTCAAGAAGTCAAATCTTTTTGAGAAATGATTTTGTTTTGCTAGACAATTAAATTGTAATTAATTGTAATTAAATTCAATTACAATTGAATTCAATTGTAATTCAATTGTAATTAAATTCAATTGTAATTAAATTCAATTACAATTGAATTTAATCAACACCCTGAATTTGCCAGTAAGTGCTTGAATCCTGCCCCAAAATATTGATAGTCTGGAAGCACCCAGTGTTTATTTTGTAGAATTTGGGGGAAGTATGAATGAGGGAGGATATGGTAAAGCAAAATGCTTTTAGTCTTGGGACCTGTGTGTTGAAGCTGTTGAAGTCCAGTTGAAACCAATTCACATGTGCACTTATAAGTTGATTGCACAATTTACTGATTGTGTTTGAAAATCACTGTGTGATTTGAAACCCCTGTCTGTAGTGTTGGTTGGATCTGTGATAGCTGCTTCAGGTGTGCAAGTCTTCATTTGGTATTTCAGTCATCGCAGTCATGCATTTGTGAACTAGGACATCAGGCTTCAAGGACAACAGAGCTGACCTGTCAGCATTCAGAGACTGAGAACTACTTTGGTTCCTCCCAGTTTACTGGATCTCAAGATTAAGGAAAAATCCATGCTCCCTTTCATCTGTTATGTACAAAGACAACTTTCAAAGAGCAATTGGTTAGCTGGCCAGATCCAGTTCCCCATACCTGAGATAGATGATGCTTGAGAAATAGTTACATCTGATGTTTAAAATTCAACCATACTATAGAAAGGAAGCTATTAGAGGGTCCTTCTTGATTCAACCCTTAGTATCAAATTGAGTGTATTGGATTATTTCTATAGATCCAAAGCTATTAAAATGGAAACAGGTCTGACTGTGGAGATGTGAACGCTACCGTGACACTTTTACCTGATATTTTCATGAAGTGAAAGGCTTACTTTTTCACTGTTGTACTAGATAGTAGAAAAAATAACTTCTATATAGTCATAAAGTATGATCTTTTAAAAACAGTATGGTTGAATAATAAAATAACAAGAAATCTAACCTTTAGGCTTGGTGGGAAGTCAAATCAGAGAACAATGTGTTGGATTTAGCAGCTCAAGTGCCAATGCAGAGCGTAACTTGTGCTCTTTTTTTCATAGGTGTATTAAATTGGTTTTATTATGTGACCATGCCAATGCCAGCATCTACATTCACTATTGCTGCAGGATGCTGGGCAGAAGTTAAAAGAAAAACTTGCCCAACTGATGTTCAGAGGAATGATGGGCTCTTTCCACTGTTGTCAAAGGCGGATGTCAGGTCGGTGATTACAGTTGAAAAATATGTACTTTAGAGAGCATTCCATTTTTTTCTGTTATACAAGAAAATGAGTCATCATAGTCAAGGAACAATAGCAGAACATGTTTAATCAAAGCAAAGGGAAACCATATAAGAGAAATTACTCCAATGGGCAAGGATGAGCAAAGGCATGTTGCTTATGTTGAAAAAAAAGAGAGCATTCTTTGAGTAATAGAATTTGTTTCTACATGGATTCGCTGAAGTATGTGAAAAGTGAACTCCTAAACTATGAACTATTCTTTTGTCTTCATTATAATCCATTATAATCTTGTTTTTAAATCACTTAAGTTGCTTTTGTTCAAAACAAAACACTACAGTTAACATCTGCATGGTTGCAAATGTTCTATTTGCATTCATAATACTAAGGAGGTGCTCCTTAAGTGGGCATCCTTTAGTTCAGTAGCAGTCTACTTTCTGAGACTCTAACTCTGGATTTTTTAAAATTCATAGAGAAGCAGTACTATGTCTTTCTACCCATGTTTTCCATCCTTTTTCCAATTCAGCTATGTCTTAAGTATCCTGTTTCTAATAGTTGCTGTTTGTTCACATATTTGTAGTATGATAGGCTCACAGACAAACATATTGCAGTTGTGATACATTTGTTTTTAATGTTTTTGAGTCTGTAACAGATCATCAATTTCATGGCAAGATTTTGTTCAAAGGATTTGAAATACATTGCTTTTAATATGTTCTGACTGTATACTATTCAAGATTAGAAACATCATTCAGAACATCTTCACGCAATAAGAATTTATTATCCAATATTCTACAGATGATAAACAGGTTAAGAGTCAGGAGTGAGCTCTGCACTCTTTCCTTTCTCATGTCTGCTTTAGCTATGCCTTACTGTTCTAATTGCATCAATGCTGACCAGAATTCTCATCTTAACAACAGCTTTAAATGGATTTGTGAACCCTGGTTAAGATGGTTTATGTTTAGCGTATTCATGTTCTTTTCAGAGCATGGAGGTATTGGCAATAATAAAGAAGAACCACCCTCCTTTTCTGATAAATGAGCAATTTGGGTGCTGTTAAAGTTGTAAATATGGAAAGGAAAGATGTGTAGTTTAAATTCTGTAGCCCTGGAACAGAAGTACATCATAATTTTTACCTATAGGGTAGGTCTTTAAAAAACTAGAAGTTATGTTTGGATTGAAGAGGAACAATCCTAGAAACAGAAATATGTATCCATGTAGTCAGTTATTCAGAGCAATAATGTCCCTTTTGTGATACAAATGAAGGAAGAGGCTAAGAAATAAGTGCAACAGTGATACATATGGATTAACTTTCAGGAGAAGCTTTCTGCTTAGAAGGATATGGAAACAGGGCATTAGCCTGTGATAAGCAGCAAATGAATCAACATGAAAGACATAAACCTAGAAAACAACATCATGGTCAGTTGTGCAACAATTTGCATTGGACTATAAAATATTAGACATGGTTCTCATGGGATGCCTCAGTCTCAAATATGCCGTGCATCTGACTGGATTGCCCCAGCCACTCTGGGCGACTTCCAGCAAATTATAAAATCATACTAAAACATCAGCCATTAAAAACTTCCCTATAAAGGGCTGCTTTCAGATGTCTTCTAAAAGTCAGATAGTTTCTTATTTCCTTGACATCTGATGTGAGGGAGTTTCACAGGGCGGGCACCACTATCAAGAAGTCCCTCTGCCTTGTTCCCTAAAACCTCACTTTTTGCATTGAGGGAACTGCTGAAAAGGCTCAGAGCTGGATCTCAGCTTTTACAAATGTACGTAACTCAAAAGCAATTTATATTCAAGCCTACATTACATTAGTACCTAATGAGCCTGAAGAGCTAGGAATTATTAAGGGAGACATTTTTGTAGTATGTGAAGGATGTCATTCCAACTGATTAAATTAAAGATAAGTTTTCTTCTTAGGATCTTTATTTTTTCCGATATATGCCTGATTTTCTTTTTGCTTCATCTTTTTTTTCTCTTGTATTATTCTTTATTAACTACTGTATACCTGTGTGAGAACCAACATGGATCAGTGGATGGCATATTACTTGCAGGTCTTCAAATATTAATTTAGACTTGAACCCCTTTAATGACATTGAGCATTATTTTATTTTTTTAATCACTACTAAAACATATTCTCAAGGTTGTGGGATATATAATAGTTGGAAAGTGGCTGTACAGCAGAGACATTCCTACAGACCTGCAGACTCAAGCAAGTCAGCCAAGCCACATGTCACTAGACCAGCTTGATGTGGAAGGGAATATTTCAGTAGAAACCCTGAATATCAGCAAAAGGTTAATCTTTATATTGAATCTTCTTAAGAGCAGCATATTTCCATGCCATCCAATTTTCTATCAATAGTTGTGGCAGTCCCATTTTTTTTTTCCACCAGAGAAAATAATTGGTCTTCCTAATTCAGCAGGCCACTTCTGGTTATCCGTAGCTGCATTACCTAAGTATGCTCAGAACTTTACTTACTAGAAATAAGATATTATTTTTCAATTTCAGGTTGTTAGAACAGAATTGTGGTCATCTGCCTTATCCTTGCCGCTTCCAAGATCCTGCTGCCACTTCTCAGGTGGTCATTCCTCATCGTGTCTTTGCTCCTCAGTGCCTTAAGAAATCCTGCGAAGAGGTTCTACTGCAACTGATTCCTCAGTGTCTCTCAGCTGCTTATGATCTCCTGGGTACCCATCCCTTTTCTAGGCTTGATGTCTTGATTGTTCCACCCAACTTTTCCAGTCTTGGAATGGCCAGGTATTGATATTTTTCTATTTTTCCATGCATGTTTACTCATCTGCTAATTCTTCTCGGTATCTACCTTGCTCTGTTGTCCTTACCAGGCAAAAGAGCATTGTTTAAAATCCTATCTATAGTTGTCATACCTGCTGTACTTCAGGAGATGCAAGACCAGTAAGTAGTAGTAAATCATAGCTCAGCTGTAGCCATTTGGAATTTTAAAATGTGTTTTTGAAAATTATGACTGCGTTAAGATAAAGAGAACAAGTAGAGATAGCAAGGATCATGTCTACTACCTTTTGGCTGTTGGCGGCTAATTAATGGCCAGATAAGATAAAAGGTGGGATATAAATGTAAGAATAGGCATATAAATAATGACTATATCAACTGTTTAACTGCAGTGTAAATTACTATATTTGAAATATCTTCCTTCAACATATGTATCAGAAGGAGAGCAATGATAGATACCAATTATTCCACTGGTTTTAGCAGTGTGCTGTGCTAGCTGATTTATGGGAACAAATATAAAACATAAGGCCACAAATGACACCCTTAAAATATAGGCGTGTAGTCTGGAGGTAGTGAGCCTCTTAAGTGAAAGAGATCCTATTCTGATTTTGAGCACCCTGGAGGAATCTAGTTAATGGATGGTACAAATGATTCACATAGACCATCAGTTATGTTTCTTGGGCTCTGCAGACACAAAAGAGCTATTCAGGGAATTCTGAAAAGGGAGCACAAAATAGACCTTCCCATTGGAGCTGTTACGAGGACAGAAAGGATATGTGGAATCATTGTTTATATACTTACCAAAGAGATTCCGAGATTCTAATACTGGTAGCTGGTGGCAGTATTGGGTTATTTGAAATGTTATGTCCTAATAAGCACTTGGGTTTTTCCATATTTTGACAGAACTACTAATAGCACTGTATTGTAAACAAGGAGATTCCCCTTCAGATGATGATTTATATGTTATTTCCATTTATAGACTGCACTGAAAGATCTCGAAGAGGTTTACAATAGATAAATGCATATATATTGTACCTAGAAAGTACAATAAAACCAATTCAAATGATTCATAACAAAATGCAGAAACAATACCATGTACATAAACATAATACCAAAATAAATAAAGCTACAGCACCTGCAAGGCAATATAATATAAAATTTCAATCAACACAACATACATATGGTCACTGAATCTCACTCAGCACCTATTTCACACAACCACTACAATCATTCATTACCTCCATCAGCAACTCATACATAAATTACTGACATGTAGCCATATTACAACCCACATACAAAGGTCCGCTGCTGAGCCTAATCTCTGAAGCACTTATAAGCTCATGCTCCTAATATTAGGAGTGCTAATAAATAATACTCCTCTCCTATCTCTCACCTGTGAGGGGCCCATATCTACCAGAGCAAGCTCTTGCTCTGGTGGGTATAGAACAGGGGTGAGCGACCTTTTTCAGCCGTGGGCCGGTCCACCGTCCCTCGGAATATATATTTTGGGGGGGAAATAATGAATGAATTCCTATCCCCCACAAATAACCCAGAGATGCATTTTAAATAAAAAGGACACATTCTACTTGTGTAAAAACACGCTGATTCCCGGACCATCCGTGGGCCGGATTGAGAAGGCGATTGGGCCGCATTCGGCCCACGGGCCTTAGGTTGCCTACCATTGATATAGAACTACAGTACTTCTATCCACTCCCAGGTTCCAACTATATAATCATAACATGCACAGTACTGCACAACCTCAGCACCTGATAATCAGCGCTGGTAGCAGACACAAACATCAGCTTCTCACTCAAGGTGGCCCTGAAGGTCACCATAAACTCAGATTGTTGAGTTTTTCCATATTTTGACATTGTTCATTGGTTTGACTAAAGTACAGACTATAGGAACCATGGTAAAATTGACTTATGTCATTACACACTTGGGAAAACAAGGTTAATGTTCTGAACAGGCAAACCATTGTTAATGCATTTGTTTCCTTTTGGGATAGTAAGACTGTTTAACTACTTGCGGCTCATAGGTCTTTGTATGTAGTATTTGTTCAAGATAATACAGTGCGTGTTCAGATAAAATAACAGGTGAATTCCCAGCATGCTGGTAGGATATAGTGCAAGTGGGAAGTAATTGCATCAGAAATGAGTTCATGAATGAAACCAAAGCAAAGTAATTATGATAGAAGTAAAACCTGATTAAATTTAGAGTAAAGTGCTACATGTGAATGTGTCTTTGTGCATAAGGAAATATTTTTGTGGTTATTCTAATACTTCAAATTTTTTAATGTCTCAATTACAAGCAGGAAGTAAAAAGAAGGGCACTTTTCCATGTTTCTTGTGCTGTTACATACCGTATTTTTCGCTCTAAAGGACGCACCCGACCATAGGACGCACCTTGTTTTAGAGGGGGAGAACAAGAAAAAAAATCTCCCCCTCTCTGCGCAGCACCCCTTCAGCGAAGCGGCAGGAGAAACTGAGTCCCTTCCATTTCTCTTCCCGCTTAGCTGAAGGGGCACTGCATCTTAGCTGAAGGGGCACCTACCCTTCAGCGAAAGGAACTCGAAGCCTCCGGAGGCTTCAGGCAGCTATCTTTGAAGCCTGGAGAGTGAGAGGGGTCGGTGTGCACCGACCCCTCTTGCTCTCCAGGCTTCAGCAAAAGCAACGCGAAGCCTCCGGAGCGTGGCGGGAGCGTTCCCACTGCGCTTCGGAGGCCTCGCGTTGCTATCGCTGAAGCCAAGGAGCCTGCATTCGCTCCACACACATTCCCCCTTAATTTTTGGAGGGGAAAATGTGCGTCTTATAGAGCAAAAAATACGGTAAGTGTAAGATGCTTACATATCTGACTACTTTTTGACACCTAAAAGTGTGTGTGTGTTTGTGATACACACACACACACATATGAAATTTATAACATGTTCTTCTGGTTGATGGTGCAAGATATTCTGTACATCTAATTCCTGTCAGTCCTTACTGTAACAATGCAATGACATCAGTTCAGACACGCTCCTGTATTCCAGCGCTCCTTTACTACTTTATGTATTATTTTGATGCAGAAAGGATGCTGCGCTATGTATTTATTTAATCATCTAGCTGGCCTATCTGCAGTAGTATAAACATAACGCAGCCTGCTGGCACAAAGGATCTGCTGTTCTGAGAATTCTAATTGTACTCCAGCCTGCCAGAGAAGGAAAGAGCCATAAATTTTCAGTCATTATCTTTAGATTTGGGATATTGTATGTGTGTGTCCATGTACGTCGGCAAGTCTGTTCCTCATTAGCCTTGTAGCTACTTCATTTTTAATGCACGAAAGTAGTACCATCTCTTATTTGAGGGGGATGGTTATCTCACATTTCAGAGTAGGAAGAAATGATGGTGCTTCTTCCGCAGAAGAGCATAATTAGAGGCTTGAGGTTGTATTTTCCAGCGGCCACCACAGCAGATTCAGCAGCATTTTCTTTCAAGACCTGCCGACGCCTTTTAAAGGAAAATCTTCCTTTGAAATCTTACTTATATGTCTTGCATGTATCATCACCTTATGTTTTTAATTTGCTATGGACTTTTATATGGTAAGAGAAACCTGATTACTTATTTTAAAAAAATAATTAGAGGCAGCCCCGCCTGCTTCTAGATCTTAAATAGAAACTTAGGGGTGGGTTTTTTGTTTTGTTTGACAATGCCTAGGTTCGTATTGCCATCATCCAGTGGTTCCTTTCAAGTCAACAGAACAGTGAATTGAAATTCCACAGTTGCTGTTTCCAGCATTAGCCCTGTTCTCTTGCTCTGCATCACACTTCCTATTTTCAGAGGCTCCTGGTATCCACTGGTGCCTATCACAAGCAAATTTTTAGATGTGCTCTTTATGAAGCTGGAGGAAAGTGTCACAGTTAAAAAATAATAGTGTAAACCTATTTTCCTTCTCTGAATCCTGAGATTTATTGAGTTTTGAGCTTTGATTGTTTCAGCAACATTTAATTAATTAATTAACTAACTAACCACCTTTATCTTCCAAGTATCTCAAGATGGTGTACATGGTTCTCATCCACCCCATTTCATCCTCACAACAACCCTGTGAGGTTAGGCTAGGCTAGGCTGAGAGATGGTCTAAGGTCCCTCAGTGAACTTCATAGCTGAATGGGGAATTGAATCCTGGTGTCCCAGGTCCCAGTCCAACACTCTGACCATTATGTGTTTTTCTGTAGAGCAGTGATCATTTGAGTTGTAACCAATTGTCTATGTAAGATGCTAAAGCTGTTGCTACATGCTCTGGTTACCTGCAGTGTTTTCTCTAGATGGGGCAATAGCAGTGTAGCCCTGTAGCAGCTGTTCATGCACTCCTCCTAGTGGTGCAGGAATAAAACTTCTAGCACATTTGCAAAACTAAACAGAGTCCAGTATGGTTTGACTCTCCCTCTCCCTTGAAAGCGAGGAGAGAAAAGGAGATCGAAAAAAGATATACTGTATGCAGTTCTTGTCGAACACAAACTGGTGTTTTCCTGGAAAGAGCAACATTGGCTTATCCATGTGGTCTTTCCAGGCTTTAAGGTGTGGGTTAAACCACAGAGCCTAGGACTTGCCGATCAGAAGGTCGGTGGTTTGAATCCCCGTGACGGGGTGAGCTCCTGTTGCTGGGCCCCTGCTCCTGCCAACCTAGCAGTTCAAAAGCACGTCAAAGTGCAAGTAGATAAATAGGCACCGCTCCGGCGGGAAGGTAAACGGCGTTTCCGTGCACTGCTCTGGTTTGCCAGAAGCGGCTTAGTCATGCTGGCCACATGACCCGGAAGCTGTCTGCGGACAAACGCCGGCTCCCTTGGCCTGTAGAGTGAGATGAGTGCCACAACGCCAGAGTCAGTCACGACTGGACCTAATGGTCATTAAATTGATGGCAGGAGTGGGGAGGAGGGGAGCGTTGACAAGTGTCTGCCAAGTTTTATACATCTCTACATTTAGTAATGGCTAGAAGTAATGAATTAGACATAAGGTAGGAATGTCCCAGAAAGA